CACACCAGATGGTGGGTGGGGATCATCAGGAGATACCCTCTGCTCATTTAGACTGGATAGGCAGAATCTATCTGAGAAACATAGTTAACAGATATCTAGGCCCTGAGCCATATAGGACTTTACTAGTGCTAATCCCACAAGTACACAAGCTACTGCATTTTGTACCAGTTGAGCTTTCCAGGGTGTCTTCAAGGGCACCCTATGTAAAATGAATTACAGTAACTGAAATGAGAAATGATAAGATCATGAGGGACCTTCTTCAGCACCTTCTGTTCTAGGTAATTCTGCAACTTGCAAACTAGCTAAAGCTGGGCAAAGGTCTTTCAGTGCATGGCCTCCACCAGGAGCCATGAGTCCAGGAGTTGTGAACTCGCTCTCAATGGGGGAATACAACACTGTCAAAAGTCAAAGTTGTTATAATTTCAGAATCAGGGTGCTACTGAAGAAATAGCCACTCTGTCTTGCTTGAGTTGAGTGGGAGTCTGTTTATCCTCATTCAGATGCCAATAGCCTCCTGACATTGGTTCAGGATTTCCACTGCATTTGGACTGCCCATTTGGACATGTATAATTAAGTATCATCAGCATACTGGTGATAACTGAACCAAAACTGATGGATGACCTCTCCCAGAGATTTCATGTAAATACTAAACAGGATGAGGAAAAGAACTGAGTTTTGGGGCACCCATAGTGTGAAACTGTGATCTGACTTCTTTCTTTCTGCAACCAATGATTGGGCTACCACTCAGGAAGGGTGGAAAACACTGTAAATGGTTATTTCCAATTTCCAACTCTTATGCGTAGGCCAGAAGGATATCATGGTCACTGAAGTCCACTGAGAGATCCAGCAGAGCAAGGATGGCTACCCTCTCCCCTGCAAGACCTGTTATAGGTTTTTCATGAGAATGACCAATGCAGTTTTAGTCAAATGCTCAGACCCATGGAGATGAGCTTAACTTGAAGGAGACGTTATGTACCCTATTATATGGTGATGTATCAAGTTGGAGAAGACTGTGATAGACAATCCCCAACTCATTTTATCTAGCGGCTTTGTATAAGTGCCAGAATGGTGCAATACCAAGAATGGTACAATACCAAAAGAGAGAATGCTTCATATCTATCTTGGCAACAGAAGGCAGAACTTTATCAATAAAATTTAAGTTCTTTTCAAAGAGCTATAAATCTTAGGAATATTCACAGTGCTTCAATAACAGTTATATAAAACAAATATTTTAATTCAAATACAGTTTTATATTTCCATACTGAAACTCCATACACTCTTGATTTAGAGACTTTGATGGCTTTAAATTTAACTTGTCCAACTGAAGTCAAGTAGGCTTCAACTAAGAATGATGCAATCCAGTGCCTTGAATCAAATGCTGAGATAAATGATATAGTCTGTATATATTATTCAATATATTAAATATTTTCTAACGTATCATCTAATCAATATATGCTAACATCATTATATAAGTCATGGTTGCTATAGGCAAGTCTGAAAGGATGAAAACACAAAGGATGCAACTCAAAGATGTATAGACCAACATGTACTTTGATAAGCCATACAAGTCTTCACTTTCCATGACATAAACAAGGATGCCTGGTCACCACGTATTACAGCTTCCAGTAATTCATAAATTGATGGATGTATATTTTAGCTTTTAGTGACAAAGAATTATCTTTGTATTTTTCATTGTGCTATGCATGCTTTTTTCTTCCCAATTTTGTTTTAGAATGGATTTTTTAAAAATCCAATCCATAAATTTTGGATTCAGTTTATCAAAAGTATTTAACATTTTGTTTATACATAGTATATGAAAAGATTTCCTCCCTTCCCAGTATACTTCTAAATTGAGATGAACTTTCAGTATTTATTGTTGCCTTGTATTAAATTATGAAACCATCTGAGTTTTGTTTTGACTAAAATATTTACTTATCAGATATCCAAATCCTAACAATCAAGGCCAGAAGGGTTTTGATCACTTCTATCTATTGAAGGCTGTTTATGTTTTCATTTAAGTTATCTTAAATTAAGTACCATCGGATATCACAGAACACTCCTAGGTGCTAGAACTTCCTGCAAGAATGCCTACATTTTATTTCGGCAGATTTAAATTATTGCTTTTAATGAATTGTGTTGATCTTAAAAAATATCATCTATCCGGACCCTGGAAGCACGCCTTCTCTGTAGCAGTGCTTGCCTTCGGCAACAAGGTTCCCCCCAAGATCCAGATGGCCCCTACTCTGCTTTTGTTTAGAAGAGCCATGAAGATCTGGCTCTTAGCGAGGGAGAGTGAAACCCCTTGCTTCATCGCATCTGTCATTTATCTTCATCTTTTAACTTTTATTGATTTTCTTGTAATTTCTTTGACTGTTGTGAGCTGCCCAGAGTTGTTGAGTCTGGCGACATACAAGTTTAATTGATAACAATGATGGTGATGATCTTATGAGCTTGATATTGAGAACCATGCATTAAAGGCCTTGGAAACCAGTCCCTGGAGACATGGAACTGAGTTTTACTAGGAAGAACATCTTTTGAGCTACCAGGGGGAGGTTGTACATTCCTGTTTCTATTTTCTTTAATTCTTCAAGTTCTACCTTATGCTCAGGTTTCAAATAATTAACATTTGCTCTGTAGATATACCCAAATGGGAATTCATTTTGTGTTATGACAATAAAAAGCTCTGACTGATAATTAATCATTATCAGGCTTTGCTTCTAGAAAGTTCAGGGCATTTTGAACTTTCTTGCCAGGGAGAAGCACATGGGCAAAGTCACATGGACTGCAATAAGCAAAGGCTTTTTATAGCCAGCAACTGTCTTTCTGGGCTGCGGAACAAATTAGGGCAAGACAGAAAAGTTAGAGCAAAACGGCATGAAAAACAAAAATGGAAAAATATCAAAGAGGAAGAAGAAATAATCTCCTTAGAGCATTCCAAGATTCTGTATGTTTCCCTCAAAAGTCTCATGAGGTTTTATATTTCCAATCTCAATTACCCCAACTTCAAGAATGGGAGTGTGAGAGCATCCAGGAGTAAAATATGGCTTTTATCTGGTCCTTTACTGATTTCTTCTTTGTTATCCTTTTAACTTGGAGAGGGAGACTGAGAAGGCATTTGATTCTTCACAGGTTCCTAACCAAAGGAAGAAAACCACTGACTAGATTGAATAAACATCATATAGACAGTGAAATGTTATATATTTTTATTAAGAAGTCAGTCCCAGGAATTCCATGAGACTTTCTCATGTACTACACCTGATACACAAATCTGAACCTCTATTCAAAAAATAGATGAAGCATCTGTGGAAAACTTACCTTAAGTAAACAATTTTAATGGCCACTTTTCTGGGTGATTTAAATAATTGTTAGCCAAAGTGAAAATCACTCCATCTTGCTTATAATAATAAATGAATATAATTATTTACGTTAACTTCACTTCTAATTAAAGAGGCAGATCACTGTTCAACAGCCCCATGTTTATGGAATTAGCCTGTTTTATCTCTGCTTTATGGGCTAAAGCAGGGTTCCTCAACCCTGGCAACTTTGCTGGCTGGGGAACTATGGAAATTGAAATCCACCCGTCTTAAAGTCGCCAAGGTTGAGGAACCCTGAGCTAAAGCATATACATGCAAACACAAATCAATGAGTCTTCACATCTAAGATAAAATATAGTTGCTGATGCTGATCACATGGGGTCTTCTGGCTTTCTGGACTTGTAATGACCGATCCTGCCTGAGACTGTTGTTGGTTCTACAACATGCTGTGCTAAAATGTGCTTTACTAGTTTGCTGTTCTGTACCATCCCAGAGCATATGATAAATTTATGATTCTGCACGTTCTATAAATGAACCCTGGTCATTGGGCGGATCATAAATTCAACTGCTCATAGGTTAGCAACAAACTAATGTGGAGGAACCACTTAGGAGCAAAACACCAGATTTGGGGGGATTCTCTTTTGAGCAAACATGGGTGAGATTAAGCTACACGGATTTAAACAAGAGAACAGAAGTTACATGCAAGTACTAGCCCTCCATCTCCTTCTCTTCCCCATCACTTTTACACACTATCACTGAGTGTGATCAAAGTACTATGGTCATAGTGGCAGAGGACAATTCTGGAAAATAGGACCCAGAATACAAAGGAGTTTCACGAGCATATGTGGAGTTCTTTTCTCAGGGCCCAGAACCCAGGAACCCCCACCTAGCTGGGAATTGGAACAACGCTGAGAAACAGCCTTAAGCCTGGCGATAGCTTGATTAGAAGGCTTCTCACCACAAATACGCTCACGTCAAAAGGCACGCCCCCAACCGTGTGGAGGCCCTTCAACACCCTTTTAATCTTCGCCGGCCCCTGGAATTCTGCGTCTCTGCTTCTTATCTCGCGGATCGTAAAGCAAGCGCCCCCGCCCGCTCTTCTCTGGTCCCTAGCCAGAAGCCGGGCGGGCTTCTACATTAAAGGGGGGGGGGGGGATATGCATTATTTCCACCACCACCCCTTCTTGGCAATTGCGTACCTGACCTTGTTTTCTCTAGAGAAGCCCCTGATTCAGCAGAATTGGGGGGGGAGGAGGAGGGAGGCGCAGAGAACCAGGCAAATGGAAAGGCTTAGGAGCTCAAGCCTCGCTTCAAGGACACGGGAAATGCGTCCCCGCCCCCTTTCGCCAGTGCCCCCCACTCCGATCCCCA